GCCTCTTCCTTGTTCTGGGCCGAAGCCCAACTCTGTTAATTTTCATACTGGCCCATTTTAGTCCTTTCAGATAAGTTGATTAATTCATTGTCATCTTTCATCCATTCAAAGTAAATTGGATTCTGGGTTTGGTCTATTGAGGACACTGGCTTTGACCCATTAAGGATTTCAAATTATGAGTTCTGCCAGTTATCGAAAGCTGGTTGGGCTCAGTAATGGGTTTTGGCCTTGGCCCATTTAATGGTTCTGGAAATGACCTTCTCTACTTCTGGGTTCAGCCCATTTCTGAAATTGGACTTGTCCCATGTAGGAAATTAATTCCTAAACCCCAAGTATCTATAGACATATAAATTTATTTTCAAATTAATCATAAACTCTAATCAATATTGCAGTTTGATATAGATGCTCAACTATTGTACCACTTGCATGTTCATAATTTACTTCTTGAATTGAACAGCAGCTTTACGTCTCATTTTGATTTGCATACCGTGCCTATTGTATTTTTTCGCCTAGTCTTCTTATTGTCGATATTCCTAAACCCCAAAGTATCTATAAATTTATTTTCGAATTAATCATAAACTCTAATCGATATCGCAGTTTGATATAGATCCTCAACTATTGTACCACTTGCATGTTCATAATTTACTTCTTGAATTAAACAGCAGCTTTACGTCTCATTTTGATTTGCACACCAGGCCTAATGTATCTTTCCCCTATTCTTATTGTCAACATTAATTCTTTCTCTGTTCATTGGCTCAGTGTTATTAGATAAGTTTTTATTTAGCCCTCTCCTAAAGATTTTATATTTGGGCCATTGGCCCAACGTCACATATCTAAAACCCTAACCTGCTATCATTGTCGCCGGCATGCATTCTACACTGATGCCTTTACACGTCTCTTTACAAATTAATTTATACTTAGATGCATTAACAAATGTAAATCCATAAAACTAAACAAATCTATAAAGCAGTATGAGAAATCAAATCTAAAGACATGCACTCTAAGGGAGGATTAAGGGATAAAACCAATCTTACCCTTCCCCGAATCTCGGATGCAGTAGATCGGCTTGCGGTATTAAGTTTCTTCTTCACCTGTAGTTGCACACATGCATGCAAACTTGGTTGGCTTGACTAGGGCCCTGCTCTGCTTTATATGGGTACTTTTCTCTCAAGTTAATATCATTTTTAGTCATAACCTCCTTTGCACCCCTGATTGCGTCTTTTACAGTTTTGTTCTTATTTATTCTCCCCACAATTATAACAGTTGAGAATGTCTAACAACTACCTGCATTATTTTAATAAAAGTTAATACATTTTATTATGATAAAAGTAAACGACATTAATTAAATAAAAAGTGGTTAATCAATTTTATATATAACATATGCTAATTAATATATAACCGCACAACATTAAATTAAGATAATCAAATCGTACCACAAGAACCCTGATGTTTTACAAGGGTTACAGCTCCTTTTTGTCTTTAATCAACACTCTCAGGAAAAATTTACAATATCTTCAATAAACTCTTCATCACAGGACCATTTGATTGTTGTATAACTTTCTGCAAAGAACCGACATACTTTTTCTTAAATTCATCATTGCTTAAATCAGCAATCTGGTATATATATTCTCAATCCATCTTCTAGCATCAGTATATGATAATACAATACCTTATCTACATCCATCGTTCTCTTCCAGTAGGGCACAAGAGCTATGACTTCTTGCAGAATACAGGCGACCTTATCTAAGTCCCAATCATTAAAGTGCAAATAAGAGTTAATATCCCCAACTACCTAA